GCATGTTCTTCTGAGTTCTTTCTTGTTTCTTGGCCCATAAAGAACTCTAGTCATCCAAAAGTCTTCTTTCATTTTCTGAGAGCCAAAAACAGTATCGCAAAAATCAAGATTTTAAGTGTTTATATAGCTCGGTGACATCTTGCATGGCTCCTGGGTGCACAGCATTAACCCCTAGTCCCAAATATTCAGCAGTGTCTGCTCTGTCCCTGGGACACAGCCTCTACCCACCTTTGACTTGCAGGAGTAGCCCCTGTCTACCCCACTCCCCAATATACCTTGGGCTTTAACTAGGGAAAACTAACTGCTAATCTTTTTCACTTTTCCCTGTATGATTTCCCTGAATTTTATGAACTCTATGCCTCAACATCCAATATCCCACAGTAGACATCATGTACATTCACCTAAGTCAAGAGTTCTAATTTGATCCACTTTAATCAGAATAGAATGATTCCCTTGGATTCTGACTCTTGAAACAGCCAAATCATGTTAAAGTAGTGACATGCTATCTTATGCTTTTAATCAATAAAACACCATGGGGTGTTTAAGGGCTTAGATAAGCCCCTTATTTCCTTTAAGCCTTGATCTTCTTGAGTATAAGTAAGTAATAACAAGCCTTACTTAGAAGGATCAAATGGTATAACGTGTAAGAAGGCCAACACAGAGAAAAACATTGCGGTAAAAATAAGAAGGACAACCACCACACACCATTACCTTTCTTTATAGTATTGGTTGAAGAAAAGGAAGGATAAAGTGCTAAAAGGAGTGAAAACGGAAGTGAGCCCTGAGGAGTGAAGGGATATTCTAGGGCCATGTTGGCTGGAGGAGGATTCAGCCCATCTGGTCCAAATATTCGCTTCTCTCTATGGGACTACAGGGCAACCACACAGAATTGTTCAGGGAGAACCCAGAGAGATCTCCCTTCCTAGCTGTTATTTTTCATCCTAATCATTAATTAGAATGAAAAGGTAACCTCAGTTTCCTTCATTGGGCAAATTATGAAAGGATGAAATTGAACCTGCCATTCTTGAGCTTTGATATCCAGGTCCTCAAAATTAAATGGAGAAAAGTTCATACTTATAGAATCATATAGCTAAAGGTAACCTTAGAAATCATCTCATTCAATAGACTATAAGACCTGCCCATGGCTACACAGCTGTTTATGGAAGAGCTAGTGCTGGAACCCAAACTTCAACTCTCAGGTCAGGGATCTTCCACTAACAAAGTTCCAATACTAATACTACTAACATTAGACAAAGCACTGAATACTTACAGTAAGACTACTATTACATAATAGCATAGTGCTTACACTAAGACTAGTAGCACTGATACTGTATAAGTCTGTATAAATCAGCCACTCAGCAGACTCACTATGTCCAAACTATAGATGGTGCTAAAACAGTTACCTTCTTCTAGTCCAGAGAGAAGCATTCAGATTAGGGGATGGTGAGTGCGGGGACCTCTGTGATAAAGGTGCTGAAAGAAGTTTTGGTATAAACATTACTTCTATGAAGGAAGGTAGAAGAGGGAGAGATCATAAGGCCTATATAGAACATAAAGGGGTTAAAGGAAGTTGAGGTAGCTCTAAAAGTGAGTCTTCCTTTCCCAGGATTAATAACACTAATTCTCCATATTCACTATCCTTACATGGTTATCAGATGGGTTACCTGAATGTAAAGTGGCCTAGATAACAGCTATGTTATCAGTACCTCCTGGAGCCTCCTCCAGGTTGGGTTAGGAGTCTTTTTGAGGCACCCCATAACACTTAGGGAAAATGTACAATGCTTATCCTGAGGTCTACAGTTCTACAACCAGTGTCTCTGCCTTCAGACTGTTCTCCTTAAAGTCAGTGGCTGTATCTTATGCATCTTACTAATCTTAGCAGAATTCCCGGGACATGATAGCAACTCACTAACTGTGTATCTAAGTCTCAATTCAGCTGTCACCTCTTTGGGGACTTAATCTCAGAGTTGGCTTGGATTGAGTATGTCTTTTCTATGTGCTATATAGCACTGATATGGGTCTTAGGGAACCATCATCCACCATAACAAATGACCCAAATGCTAGTTTGAATCACTGACTAGACTGGCAACGCTTTGAGGGTAAGGATTATGTCTTTTGGTGCTTTCTTCTCAGCACCTATCATCATGCTTAGAAATCACAGGACTTGTGCACATGCCTAAAGACTGGGCAGATAAATAGATGAGTGAAAGAGTGCCAAAAGAAATGCTGAGGGAGTGTGCAGTCTTCATCACGGAGACACCCAAAAGAGTCTCTAGGAAACCCATAGCTAGCTAAGGGAGTGGATTCCCAGAGTGGCAACACGATGTTTCTCACAGCCTCCGCTGCCAGGGAAGATGAAACGTCACCAGCACTCAGGAACAAAGACTGAATGAGCCCTCCTTCAGGTCTCAGGCTAGAGGGCACCTGTTGCTAAAATAACAGCTGGTAAGCATTTTGTTTTGTTCAAACAATAACAAAAACAACAACAACAACAACAATAACAACAACAACAACAAAACCAATCTATTGCGGGAAGTAGCATCACAATGAGAAATCAGGAGGCTAAATATATAGCAGGAAGAAATACTGGATTTTAGCAGTGAAAGACAAGGAGGGAACCGCCACAGCCTGAGGGAGGAAAAAAATGAAGTGTTGATTAGAAATTGCTCAGCCTGCATTAAAGCAAAACAAGGGAGGATTGAGGGAGCATGGGAGGGGGAGAGAGGGGAGAGAGAGAATGGATATGGTTTTTCTTGGCACACTGTCTCATTTTTAATCTTTTTCCTTTCTCCCTCCCTTTCTATCACCTCTCAAGAGAGAATTCATTGATTGGGCGGGACTAAAATTTCCTGCCTTTCCTCATATGGTTTCTGTGTGAGGAATGAGCCTGAATCCCTCTCACCCTTGACTGCTTCTCTCTCCTCCCAGCCCCTTCCCCGGCGGCCATTGTTAGCTCCTCTACTTTGCCTGGGTTGAGAGGCACCTTGTCCATCGGTGCATCTGACAGCAGCAAGGGGATAAGGAGATGTCAGGGGGTGGTCAACGCTATTTACAGGAGTCAGATCACCCCCACTGTCTGACAGCTGAGATGGTCCTGATAAGTAACCTGTTGCCTGTTTCCAGGCAGAGACAGCTCTCCAGGTACACAAGGCACAGACAAAGCATCACCTCCCTCCAAACAAATATAAAGCAACACACTCTCCTACCAGAAGCCAGCAAGGTAGATGGAGCAGATACAAATAGGTCTGGCTGTGGTCTAGGAGGACTGAGATGCAGGCCCAGCCACAAACAGGCATATTGTTTCTCTGTACCCCTTTCTATAAACCAGGGGGCTGAAGTAGATTTCCTGTGGCCCCTCCACTAATAGGATTCCATTTTATAAGAAGCTGTTAGCCATCTAGAGAGGCCATATGTTCTTTTCCCACTCTTGGGCAGATCCTGTAGGGGAGGAGGGTCCAGAAAAGCACCTCTGACTCATGGACCCCCTCCTGAGGTGCCTGGCTGACTTCAGGGAAGCCACAATACAGGCTGCAGACCCAAGTTCCCCTTAAAGATAACAACTGAGAAGAAGCAACTCAAGGAGTTGGAATGAGTGAGGGTGGCAGTGGAAGGCACCAGGAGGCCAGAAGAGGGGGAAGCATGGATCAGCCAAAGCCTGGAATTAGATGATTCATATTTGAATAATGTAGGAGGAACTCAGAGCAGCCAAGATAAGAGGCTAACTCTGCTGAGGGTGCCCTCCCCACCTCCCCTCCCCAGCCTCAACCCAGCTGAGGGCTAGAGCAGTGTCAGGGCCTTTCATTTGCAAGAGGGAAAAAACTCAATTGATAATTTCATTCTGAAGCTAAAGTAGGGGCATTTGCCTTTCTTTCTTAAATGTGTCTTGCCTTCTTTCAGTGACTTGCTTTTGGATATTTTGAGCTGCTTCGTATTTTCCTGGTGATGATTTTTTTACCAGATCCAATGGGTACCCCCAGAGGAGACAAAATTTTGCTCCTTTTCCTGCTACTTGCTCTTTTCTCCTATCATTTGCCCCCATCCGGACCTCATGACCTTTCTGACACCCTGTTCTGTTTCCTCCATCACTCTGTCTTCATCTGGCTTTGAATGGTAGCCTCTGACCCAGGCCAGGCCATCCAAACCCTCCTTCAAAGCATCAGCCTTCAGCAGGGCTGCTATGTGAATCTCTCAAAGGTGGCCACCCAGGGGCCACTTGTTCTTTACTCCAGAATCATCCCATTGGACAAGGTTTTACAAACAAGGACCTCTCCCAGCACCAGAAGATGGGAAGAAAGTTCATAAAAGGGAGAGGGGGCCAGCAAAGGCACCCTCAAATTATCTTCACTGGGGGCAGGGGAGTTGGTCTGTTAAAAGATCTTTAACCATCTCCAAATGGATGAAGTGACTGAGTAGGCCCTGAATTCCAGGGCCAATCAAGCCTGTCCAGCATCTCCATGCCAATACACCCTCCTCAGTACCCAAGGAGGCAAAGAGAATGCCCCCGGGTCTCTTCCTTTTCTAGAGAAGGAACTGGGGAGACACTCTCCTGCCCCTGCCTCCAGAAAATGAATCCTCTTAATGAAAAAGCCCCCTCTGAGCTTTTCCCTGGCATTGCCTAGGACTCAGAGCCTTAAAAACTCGGGAAAGACCAAGGAAGAACCGTTGTCTGGAGAAGAAATCCACAGCCTAAGAACAACCTCATAGAGCCAGTGAGTCAAACACCTGCATCTCCATCCAGTTCATTTGGAACCCGGCTTCTCCCCTGCTGTTTCCCCCACCATCCCACCATCGTAACCTAACACACACACACACACACACACACACACACACACACACACACACACACACACATACACACTCACTCTCCAGCAGCCGGCTAAGCAGTTTTAACAGAGTCAAAAAATAAGAAAAAATTTATTTTTTAAGGTGGAGTGGAATTACCTCCTCTGTGGGAATCCATCTAAAGTTAGTTATTCGTCGCTGTGGCAAACGACTCTTACCTGTTAAGCAGAAGACAGCGGTCCACCCCAACACGACCCTGTCCATTTTCCCCAACTTCCCATCCAGATTAGGAGTGGGAGAAGTGGGGGGCGGCAGGCTTGCAAGGATGACCCGCGGCAGCAGGCGGCGGCCGAGCACGGCCCCGGGCGTCCCTGGGCGCCGCCGCCCGGCGCTGGACGCCGCCGCCTGCGGAACGCGCTG